GCGGCCAGGCGTCACAGGGAGGGCCGTCGGGGGATCTTACGCAAGCCCTACGCAAGCCAGAAACCCTTTACGGTAGGGCGTGTTCCTGTTTCTATTAACCTTAACCTGTACCCAATACTTTAAACCTTACACCCAACCTAAACCCCTAACCAACCTACACCCCAAACCCTCCCTAAGCTCTTGTCGATTCGCAGCCTTGTAGATTTAACTTTAGACCCTAAACCCCAAGCTCGAAAGCTTGAGCTAAACCCTAAACCCCAAAACCCCACAACCACACCCACAGGGGGGAGGGGGGGTTCCTGGACCATGTACCATTGGGGGGGGGAGGGGGGGGGAGCCGCGGAGCGCCTGACCATATATAGGCACACGTATGTGCATTATGCGGGGAGTATCAATATCAACATGCAGACTGCAGACTGCAGACCTCTATCTAAGAGCCTTCAACCCTTTAAAGGCCTTACAAGACGAAGCATCCCCAAAGCCCATCCCTTAAGCCTCAAGCCGAATTATGGTTACCTGTATAGTTACCCAAAAAACCATCGCAGGATCGCCAGAATCTGAATCTCTGCTTGCTCTTCAGCCGCAGAGCGACCTCAATCCGGGACAAGGCAACTCCAGGGTTCCTCTTATTCCTCTTTGTTAGGAGCTTGCGGTGTAGGGGCTTCGGGGCTTAGGGTGTAGGGTCCCGGATTTAGGGTTTAGGGTATCTAGGGTATGTAGGGTATTTTGGGTACTTTGGGTATTTTGGGTTTAGGCTTAGGGTATTTAGCGTTCAGGGTATTTAGGGTTTAAGGGGTTTGGATTCAAGGATTTGCAAAAGGGGCTTGAAGAGCTTGTGACGTTGTTTCTTAGGGTTCCTTACTATACTACTGGTATAGAATACCCCCAAGCCCTCTTGTAATCTGGGGGCGTCGGGCTTCGGGAATTAGGGGCGTAGAGTATGGGGTACAGGGTTTCGGGTTTATTTACGATTTAGCGTATGGGGGTTTAGGGACTTCGGGTTCAGGGTTCAGAGCCCCCCCTGAGGCCTCCGCCACACAACAGAGTGTTGCGCTGGATTGCACGATGCCTGGGTTTTTATAGAGCTGTGATAAAGGAGTAACATTACAATAGAAGAGACGGAGGTTGTGTTGAGGCGTCGGGTAATATATTGCAGAGCCCTGGGTCTTAGATTGTCATTCTTGAACCCTTAGTTCGAAACTTGCAAGCTGGGTTTGGGAGTGTCACGCATGAAAGTCTTGTCTTGGGGGCCTGCAAACTGGCCTGCAAGGCACGAGAAGTCGGAACCCTAAATTCACCCGCGGCCCAAAAAACACCCCTCTCTTCACAAAATGGATAAGCAAAAACATGTAAAACATATATATATATATATATATATTTATTTATTTATTTATTTATTTATTTCCGATAGCTAGATAGATAGATGGATAGACAGATAGATGGATAGACTAGAAAGAGAGAAATCATACGAAGGAGCCCTAAAATTGTAGGTTGTTGGGGCTCAGGGGAAGCCTTGCAGAATGCGTCAAGCCCTTCAAGGAAAGACCCCGCAACGCCCCGAACCCTCGATCCCTCGATTGTGGGGTTCAGGGTTCGGGGTTGATGTCATAGAAGTTCCACAAAGACTGTTTCAAGGCATCGGGATCTCAAGGCTTTACAACCTCCACATGGGTATGACACAATCGGCCACAATAAGAGTGATCAGCGAGCCATGAAGCGACTTTAAGGCAGATAGCTGCCCCTTCTCTTCTAAATCTTGTAAACCTGTGACCCACTAACTGTAGGTCGAAAGGCATGACCGACAAAACGGAAGGACACCGGATTCACATGTAAAGATTCAGAACGAAAGGAGTTGTCCTGTTTAGGTTCACAGGTGCATTTAGGGATTTGGAGTTTGGGGCAATAGATCTTCAATTGATATCCCATTGCAACGCACAGCGATGGTTTTGGTCCTGTTTTGGTTCCATGGCGAGAGACCCTATGTCGGCCAAAGGGCTGTCAGAAGCCCCGAACTCTCATCTCTGAACCAACCCTCGCGCCGGAACTCAAAAAGCACTGCAGACCTTGGCGACCCCGGAATGGCTGGAACGTTGGAGCCTTACCTCTTTTGGGATTCAGATCTGCAGGTTTCAATTAGCGTTTGGGGTTTTTGGTTTAGGGTTTGGGCTAGCAAGCGCTAGTGAAGTCGCCAGCTTCTTGATTCGAAAGTTGCGACAGCACGGCCACAGGCCTTGCGGCTTGTTGCCGGTTTTAGGTGGTGTTTAGATTTAGTGTTATTTGAGGGGGGGGGCTTCAAGGAGTTCTGTCGGCTTTCGGGGCTGAGGGTTGATACATAGGGCTCCTAACCTAGGGTTTAGGCGTTGCTTCTCGGGTCTAGGGTTTACCAGAAAGTCTGACTTGAACCTGGCGTTCCCCTCAACTGGCCTCAAGCCGGCTTGTGCACAGCGCTCAACACCTAGAAAACCTCGAACCGCAAACGCAGAAGCCCAGAAAAGCAAAACCTGAACCTGACCAATTCTTGATCCTAAATAGTGTGCGAAGCTTCAAATCCTGGGCCTGTCGTTAAGCTCTCGAGGCTGTGGCAACTTCTTGGACGAGTGCCAAAGCGGCTACGATTCTGGCACGCGGATGCCTCAGATCTGGTTGGGAAGCCGAATGCTGTCTGGCTCGAAAGGCCCTGAACCCCAGTTGTAACCCTAGGATCAGCCCCAAGCCCTGAAAACCTTGACCTCAACCGCGAGAATGGGGTGGGAATTACACATGTATCTAAGGCTCATCATCAGTAAGCAAAATTGGATTACGAGCCTCGTTACCAGCAAACTCCGCAACTCGGGTGTCGTCGAAGGTACACCTGGAAGGGTCCCCGGAAAAGCACAGACATACTTCCGGATCTCTATCTCTTTCTTTTGACAAGGACCCTAGAATGACGCTAGCTTGGAGAACTCGCCCCAAGAGTTTTCTCAAGAAGCCCGACCAGGATTGCGCCCTACCACACCTGGCTGCACGCGGCAGGAACCTCAGGAATCTAAAGCTCCAAAGCAAGTAGAAAGATGGCTGCTTCCCTGGAGTAGTGAATGTGATTTGTCAGGTCGGGACGGCTCTAGGCTTTATGTTTAAGCTGCATAAAGATGCGAGGGAAGAAGAATGTGCAAAATGCTCTTGTCGAAATTGAGCCGCAAACCTTCTGAGACCACGACCTTATGCTACTAACACCCATTATAAGCGGTAGGAGCTGCAGCAGCGCGGAGCCCAGGTGGACGCCACGTACACGCTGTACCGCATTATGACCCTGATCGCTGCGGTTGGGGCCTTATTGTGTTTCTGTCGGGTGGCGGTTTCAGAAAATTCGGGGTGTCTCTTTAAGGATCCCCGCTCTTTGAAGCGGACCTTGCCAGTAAACGAAGAGGGATGGATGATTTGGGACATGCTAAATACGAATCGAAAGATAATCCTAAGCTGCAAACCTGAAGCCGCGAAAGCCCTTCACCCAAAATCCCAAGGCTCAGAGCTCCAAACTCAAAACCCTAGAGGTCAAATCCTAAAGAAACCTCTTTGTTTTGCGCTTCAAAGTTTTGCATTTCAAGGTCAGTTCAGGGTTTAGGACTCGGGTTGTGCATGCTTGGTTGTACACGTTCTTGCTGTTGGCCGGAAGTGCAGCTTTCGGTCGGAACCATTTCTGGAACCCTTGCCCCCCCCGCAACCGTGAGCCTTCAACCCTCAACCCCAAAACTAAAACCCCGATGCCGACAATTCTGACAGCCCAAGCCCTGCAAGCTGCCTCTCAAGGCCGTGCAGGCCCCCAGCCTTGGCATTCAAACCCAAATCCTCCTCCAGGGGTCTGAGGAAGGCATGTTTGTCTCTATAGGGACCTGACGAAACTCAAGGGTTTACGGTTGGTGCTTTCGTGAGTCCAAGCAAGATTGTGCGCAGGAGCAATACTTGGGCCATCTCGAGTGCAACTGCCTCATCTTTCTCACAGGGTTTCAGGGTGTAAGGCTTCTGAAGCAGGGGGATCCTGTTTTTCGGTCGATTCTGGCATATTGGATGTCTGACCAATCCGAACCTTGGAGCCAGGCCCCAAACCCGGCCTGCCAACCCTTAAGCCCTGAATAGTAAATTTAAAGCCTTACCGCTTTCCAAAACAGCAGGTAAAGCATCGAATCGTATCGTAAACCCGAAGTCCACAGCCCGAAGCTCTCATCCTCGTATGCCAGAGCCTCTGAGTCGACGAAGCTTTTTACCAACTGTCGTCATTGCGACCAACTGAGAGGGATAAAGGTACTTGGCTCGGCTGGGGGATCCTGCTTAGGAATCGGAGGCTTCCAGGGGCCAGCCCAGAAGTAAATCTGTGTGTCCCAAGCAGCTGCAAAGCCATTCCACAAAGCGGGCCTACTTGTTGGGTCAAAAAGAGCACCCCCATAGTGTGAACACTTTAGTAGGGTGAGTTTGGACCAAGGAGTGTGCATAGAGTTTACAACCCATGTATCCCAAACCCCTGCTGCATGCGCTAAACCGCAAAACCCGGAACCACTGGAGCCTACGCCCCCAAACGGCCAATTCATTATCATGGAACCCTACCAAACCGTGAATACATCCAGAACCTACACTTAGAGCGTTGCTTATGCCATTATGAGACGATGTACGCCATATGCCCTATATCCCACAGCCGGCAACCCAGTGCGTCCTAATCCCGAAACCCATAGCGCTTTAAAGTTCGCCAACCCGGAAAGTCGAAAGTCCCCGAACCCTGAGACCCCGCAATTTCAGGCTTTGGCCTCCTGGTGGCTGCCATTGCGCACGACATGGGCCCCTTGGGACAAACTACAGCTTTTGGAGTAACGCAGTGCCCTTAACAAGTAGAAGAAGTTCTCTATGATGGGGCGGCAAAATCATGAATTCGCATATGTAGAGAGTTTGAGGCAGTACTAATATCGCTTCAGATGAATATATAGTAGGGAGTAGGAGGCAACATGAATTAGGACCCCTGATATCGCTTCTTATAAAAGGGCTCTTGAAGTAAGACTTCGTGTTCTGTTGAGGGTCCGACTGAGGGTTTTGTGTAATGATTCTCGTGTTTTCCAGGGCTGTGCATGGGCCTTGTGTGGGTTTACGATATTCCGAACTGTTAAGACTAACAGACGCGATGCTCGAGGTTTTGCACAACTGATTCTTAATTATATAGTGTTTGGGGCATCGTCGAGTTCTATACGGCTTACTCCAGTCTTAAAGGCGATTTACCTGGGTTCTTATGAGGTGCTAGGCTGCAGGAATGAGCGTTTAAGGTCTTAGGTTTGCGCAATTAATGTGTAGGGCGTGGTGCGCCGTGGTTCCAGATTTAGGTTATATAGAAGGCAAGAGAGGTCGTAAGTAGGGCGGAAACCTTGCACATCCTTGCACTCTCGAAATCCTAAGCTCGTCCTCAACGATATATATATATATATATATATGTGTGTGTGTGTGTGTATCGTAAGTAATATGTCTGTACGTATGTGTGTACATATATATATATATACACATCTGTGTATATGATTTGTTTGTTTATTCAAATACCTGCGTAGAGCACATGTCATGTATATACATACACTACATACATACCTACACACATACGTGCATTACATACATACATGCATACATACACACATACATGCATACATACATACATTCATTCATTCATTCATTCATACACCCATCTATCTATTCATTCATTCATTCATTCATTCATTCATTCATTCATTCATTCATTCATTCATTCATTCATTCATTCATTCATCCGCCGCTATCCCGTTAGTTCACGAAATCTGAGTCAGAGCCGCTTCGGGGTCCCATACATACATACTTACACAATGCCTGCTGTAGAGCATTCTAAAATCATTCGAGCTCTGGAGCAACGCATCAAACCAATTCCAGACCCTCCTCCTCTTAGCTGCGGACTTGAAAGTCTAGGCCCGGTTAGCCCAGACCTCCCTAAATTCTTCTAAGCCCCGACACAGCACAGTCAGACCATAAACGAGTGCACACAGATACCTGAAGCTGCAGAAGATCGTGGATCCCAAGCTTTACATCCTTTCTCCTTAACCACTTTGAGACCTTAGCATTTGAGACCCTATTCTTAGAGCCATGAACCTGAACTCCCTGAACACCGATTAATTTGTTTCTTTCCTCTAAACCCAAACGAACCCAAAAGAAACCGCTAAACCCCCTAAGTTCCGCATACGCTGCTTCAATCCCCTAAACCCTCCTCGAACGCCCTGACACCCATCCTTCGCTCCCAACGCCTGGAGACTTGCAGCCGAGTGTCTGAGGCCACCGGGGACGCAGCAACGTCTTCTTGGTGGAGCCAGCGCCTTAGATAGGGCTGGCTATTCGGAGGTATCTTAGTTTGGCGTTATTGCTAAAGTTGCAAGCCTCCTTTGATACTGACTACGACATGTTTTGTGTGTTTAAGTATAATAAGGCTCCTACCACGGTGGCTCCAGGGCGCAAGGAATCTTGGATGTTGCTGAAATGCCACACCGCACATGTGCCACTCGCAATAGTTTCGAGATTTGGGTTTCAAGGGAGTTCAGATCTGCTTCACATTTGGCCATCTGAATTTGCCAGTCACTGCTGCTGGTCTGGTTGTCTGGACTGCTGGATCCTAGATTTCTAGATTTTGGTGTTGCAAGGCGTGGACTTCAGGAGAACCCTTTCAGTGTGACACTGAGGTCGAAAGTGTGGGCTTGGGCAGTCCTGCACCCCAAACACTGCAGCAAACGCAAGACAGAGGCACGCTCCAAATGCCAAAACCCCGGCTTAGCGCATCAACCCCAGCTTGATCGTTTGGTACGGTGGTTGTGTGATTCCTGCAAACCTCGCAGAGCTCCATGTAGAACCACTGCTTTTGCCCAGGATTGGCCACGAGCTAGCCATCCGCTACAATGCTGCTACCTGAGCTCGCAGTTGCGTACAACCCCCCAAGGGTAGCGACAAAACTCTCATGCTGTAGTGCCTTGATATCGTGATGGCGCTGGCGCTGATTGTCGTTTTTCAGAGAGGTTGTTTTGTCAACCAGTGCTTACACTTACACTGCAGATTATAGATTCTGGCATTCGGGTTGGGCTTTCTGCAGTGTCCCCCGTCCGGGTCTGTTCTAAGCCGGGCTACGGGTTGGCTTTGTTTTGGTGGTGGGGGTATTTGGGATTAGTCTCCCGGTTGGCTGGGGTCTTGTTCTGCCTTCTTTTTTTCTTTTCTTGGTTCGTGTCTGCGAACGAACCATTGGCCCGGCAGGAGGAGGGTTCAGGGGTACCATGACAGCTTGGCTGTCCAGCATCAGCCCATCCTTGATAGGGGTACCCAAGCCTGGACCCCAAACACCAAAAAAACCAAGCCCGCAACACCAAACCCGATGGTAAAAAGCTCCTTGAGAGATCAAGGACATCGCAATCCTCGAGAACATGCACTGCAGCCTTCTATTTCAGATTCTGTCCCAGGCGGTCTGCAAGTGCTGGGATTGTGCGGGCTCTGGGTTTCACGGTGGGGGCTTCGGATGTCGATTGGCACTTTGCTGGCTTTTGGGTGACTCACTCATGGATCTCTGAACCCTTAATTAAGCCTCAGAGCCTCGAACACGCAAGCCATATGCCCTATGTAGACCCGTCAACCCCTCACTGGCCCCTCCTCGGGCGGCTTTGTCTAGTAGCTGATGGTGCCGCACAGGAAATTGGTGTTCCACAAACCCTCACTGAACCGGTCAGGTCACTTAAGACTTACATAGCCCTACCCAAAGCCCTGAACCGGTAAACCGCTCCTACCCGAAATCTTGAGCCCGGAGCCAGGACAAGATGAACATTCTCTCTGAGCTTAGCGAGGCTTGCTGTGTAATTATGAGAGCTTCGACAAGGACGTCTATGGGATAAAGGAGGGTTTCGATAAGGTTTCTATGTGGGCTACCACAATATCACGCTCTGGACACTCGGCAATGTTCTCCCGACGTTGTCAGTATCTGTTTACGTACACGATGACACACCCGAAGGATTCTATTATGTTTTGAACTTCATATCTTTAAGGGTTCCTTTGACAGATCCTTTAAAGGTTGAAGGGTTCAGAGCTCTGTTGGCTCAGTATCCTAAACTTCCCTCAACCCTAAATCTTAAGCAGGACGGGTAAGATGCTCATAGTTACTCGGCCAGAAGAGCCTGCATGTAAGCAAAGAGCCTGTGAGACCTTGGCACGTGCTCTTTTGGCGGCTCATCATTGAAGTTCTGATTGGTCTTCTTGACGTTGTAGAACTATTCGGGCTGTTGGGGTTCACGAGGCTATGGGTTTGGGGTTCATTCCAGGGCTTGTCCAAGGTTTACAGGGGTTGGGGTTTGGAACTTAGGATGCGGGTGTTGCATAAACCAGACTGCTGACATAAGTAGGCACTGGCGGGTAGATCCCAGCAGCCTGAACTGAAGCCTCATCAGCCCATCTACAACCACATCCGCCACGTCATCGTCGATGCGATCCTTGCCACAGACTTCGCGGTGTTCCCGACGCAGTTTCCTTGATCGGGCGTTGAATGCTTAGGCTGTTCAGGTCTGTGCTCTAAATATGTTGGTTTGGCAGGCGTTGGCTTGTACCCCAGGCTGTACCTAACCCAACACTGCGCGGTGAATCTGGGAACCTCGGATTACAAGGACTTCCGGGTCATCAGCCCTGAACCATTGGAACGAACACCTGCGAACCGTAGCTTGCATTTCCTACAACCATCTACAACCATCGGTCTGAATTTAGACTCTGCCCAAAGACTTCAACTCTTCTAGCTTTTGAAGACACAGACAATCACAGACAAGAAGACTATCAAGCACAAACTAAGCAGTGATGGTCATGCTAGAACGACAGCCACAATACATAAGTATAAACATGAGGGTAACAGGGATGTTACGATTGGAAACTAGAAAGGAGTCAGGACTCGAGGTGACGCCCAAAGCCTCAAACTCAAGACATCCAAATAAACCCCTAAACCTTTACGGTGATCAGAACTTCTGTTTGGGAGTCAAAGGCTCGGTTTACCAGGAAGCTGGGAGGCCTTCTTCCCAGGCTGAGGCTTCTGGCTTGTGGATGTTTGGTGTCCTGCCCTGCACGGCAGGGGCTACACAATTACAGTAGCCCATGCCGAACCCTAGTAGGGTTGCAGGTGAGAACGAGCCAGTGAGCGAGAGAGAGGGAGAGATGAGAGAAGTCTAACGCTGCGCCAGCAACACACCGGCATGGTGAAGGAACCGGATGGCCGAGTTACGGATTTGGGGGTTCGGGTTTGGGAAATTTTGGCGAGTCGTGTCAGTAAGATTCGAATCCATCAGGATCATCAGGGACCATTCTGAATGCTCCTGCGTTGCGAGCATGTCAATGGATCGAGTCCCATATTGATTGAGTTTGTGTATAGGTGCGGTCATGCACGCTTTAATCCTGCAACGCCATGAGCCTCTACCTTCACTTCTTGAATCCGCTGATCGGGGTATCGGACTGCAGCATAAAGTCGCCGAAGAGCTTCAAAACTTACAGCTTGTTGCATAATGCAACTTCACAACCTCCCTTCCTGCACATCACTCTGCGCTTTGGGTTCTAGGGTTTCTGGCAAGTCGTCAAGGACAATTGTTTGTTATTTGTTATGTATCAGCTTGCCTTGGCCAATGCGGAATCTTGAACACGTTGGATGTCTATACATGGTCTATCCTGGCAACCCTTGTGCTTCTTTGCCCCTCATTTTTGCAGGTAGTAGTTGTTCGAGTGTAGCAGCAGCTTTTGCAGTTGCAGACTTCACAATGGCTTTTGAAGATATTCTGTTGCCTCTCTGCTCCAGGCAGAAGCCAGACACACAGAATTGTTAGAATCTCGTGCAGCACACTCCATGCTGGAAAACTCTTCCGTTCCATTCCCTGTACAGCTGTGCCATGACATGCCCCTCAGCACCAGGATGCGTAGAATCCCGCAAGGCCTGGGTCGTCGAACATTTGTTCCATTGAACCCTGTTATCCTATGTTCGCAAGCTACGAAGGATCACCGAAATCCTGTAAATACTACTCTCGACCAAGCCGTGGTAGCCAAGGGTCTCTTGGTCTGCAGCAGCGGAAGCCTAGAGTGAGCTGCTCGGAACTATCTTGTTTGTTGCCCAACGGAAAACAGAGGACGATGCAGGAGGGATTTGTTAAATGTAAGCATCTCAGGCTCTCCCCCGAGACCAACCATAACGCCTACTAAAATTAATGATAACCATGAACCTTGCAGTCAAGATCGGAATAAACACCTTAAGAGCGAACCTTGAGGGCTTCTCAGCGGCCACAGGAGTTCGAGTCCATGTATGGCGTGAACGCAGAGCTCTTTGACATGGCTGATGAGATGCTCAGACCCCAGTGTTCGGGGGTGTGGGGTTTAATTCGGGGCCTTGAGCCTTTCAGGCAGGGCTTACAACAGTATTGGCTGCTTCACTGTCGTCCTATCTATTGCTCCACTCTTGTAAATACTGTCGTCGCACCGCATACAGCATGGGTGCCACATTTCCGGTGTAGCTGGGTTTGGGGTTTGCGGTCGGCTCCCTGTCGTCTGGGTGACGTCGAGCCGAAAATGGACATGATGGTCGTGTCAGTTAGACCTACACCTTGCCCTGAGCAGGCTGTTCTAAGAATGAGACCAACGTGAAGTCCCAGTGCCTTTACAAACTCATTCAAGTTACGGTTGGAACGCGCGCAAGAGGGAATCCCAGCTCTGAATACGGATCTAGGTTAATGCTAGCTGCTAGCTAGACTTGAACCCGAAACCCTAGCAGCACACACTGCCTAGACTCCGCAGCTTCGACTGTACATCCAGCGACGAGGTACATGACCATGGACGAGTTCCCTCCAAATGAGCTGCTGGAGTATTTCAAGACGCCCGACGTCAAGAAAAGCCTGAGGACGCTTGGCTGGGGGTCGGCTCAAAAGCCCTCATGGCGCCCAGGAACCATCCTCTCTAAGCCTCCTTTGGTTTACTGGGCTGCTAGGGTGTGCCAGACGCACCATCGTGTGCGGGGAACCCCTACCGTTTTGCTGCACCTGGTGCTGGCAACCCGAGCAAAGCCAAAAGCAAAGTCTGACACCGAAAGCGGGGAACCGTGAAAGCCCTGGCCCCAAGCTCATCCGTTCAACCACAGGACTGTCTTGCTTCACTTCAGCGACATCTCGAACCCTATGAAGCAGGGAACCGAGAGAGGGAGTGTACTGCTCAACATCTGGGACCCCTTTGGAGTTGTTTGGGGATCCCTAATGCGGCCTGAGCCTAACGGCTGCACCACCAATCTCCGAAGAAGGCTAAGGGTTCATGATGGTCGAGGTCCGAACCCTCAACCCACCAAATAACAAATCGTGGAAACCCCAGCCCTCAACTGTAGAGCCTTATTATAGTAACCATTTTCAAACCTTTATAGTACCCCTTGTAGTAGCCCTAGCAGCAACCCTCATCGTAGCCTTTAAGCCGTAATGTGTTGGCTTCCATTATCCCAAGGTCCTGAAGCCACATATCCCAGAACCCACTGCCCAACACCCTGAAGCTGTACAGCTCCAAACCAATGTTCAAAAGCCCAAAGTCATATAAGCACCAATCCCGGCCCCTAGGGCAAGACACTGTCTCCGAGAAAGTACGAAACAGTAACGAATCTAAACTAGGGTAGCTTGTAGCAGTCCGTATCTTAGTGCACTCTTGTGTAAAAGGAGCCCGGAACAGCAAGCCCTAAGCTGCAATTTCTGAATAAGGTTTCAGGCCACATGCCGTGCGTCCCCACATATAGTCTTTTCGAATACCCCCCAAACCCCATGCCCAATGCTCTTAATTTCTTGATGCTTCATGCTAAGCCTTATACAGCAGAGGCCCTTCCCCGTTGCAGAGAAATGGGCGGCTTTGGTGTTGGAGGAATTCGCTCTCCAGGGAGACGAGGAGAAGGTGCGCAGTCGACGTCTTGTTAGGGGTGTTGGGGCCTTCGCGGTTTCGTGGCTTTGGTTTAGGATGCTTCGTGCTTGGGGGTTTGAGGTTTAGGATTGTGGGATTTTGTGCTCGTCGTGTGAAGTGCTGGGTCTTTTTGAGTGTAAGGTTCTGGACTCAGGGTTTTGAGGTTTTCAGTCCAATTCTGGATAGAGACTGCTGTGCGATCTGGCCTTAGGCTTAACACGTCTTTGAGGGTCGCAGGGCGTGTAGGACCTTAGGACGCAGGAGTTTAGGGTTAGGGGCCCATGAGGGTTTTCCGTGTTGTTCCCGCACGGTCTTGAGCTAGACTGGGAGTTTTTGGGGTTTCGGGTTGATGAGGCTGAGGGTCCTGGTTGTGAGGTCTTAAGATGCAGAATCTCCAAGGCTCAAGACTTCCGACTCTGAGGTTGGAAGTTTAATCGGGATCAGCTTTTGGACTTCGGCCTTAGTTGCAAGTCTGAAGTTCCATTGTCGTTACGATTACTCTTCGTCTGAACATGGCCACCCAACCAAAACTCACACAAGCCCGACTTCCCACAAACCTCCACGTCCTGAGCCATGCTAACGAAGACGATGATGATATCGACGAGGAGTGATGGCTTGTTGTCTTCGCGGTGCCCGTTCTTCCAACCGTCTGTACTGTCAGTCTAGTGTTACTCTCGTCGCCACGATAAGTTCTCAAAACCTTTTCGTCGTCTCAAGGTGATACTGCTTGTGCTATTCCTGTGCTTATTTGCTTGATGGTCAGATGGTGGCGAAGGTGCAGAAGGAGAGATGCTAATGATGATGGTGGGGTGGCTACAAAGCCTCGTGCCAACCTTGCACCGGAAAGGCCCTTGTTCGTTCAAAAACCTTGTGCAGGAGAGGTCCTGGTTCGTTGCAACAGCTTGCGCCGGAGAAAGCTTGTTTCTTGCACGAGCTTGTGCCGGAAAAGTTTTCTCCATGACAGCACCTGGTGCCTTTCATAAACCGATTTTCAAAGCGGGGACTCAACACGCAAAGGATTTTTCGCCTTGTGTCAGAAAGGGCTTCTCCGTTGCAAAACATTGTGTCGAAAATAGTCTCTCCGGAACAAAACCTCGTACGGGACGTGCCGGATCTGTCATCGGTGCTTTGTAAGTGCTATGCACGTTGCAACTATCTTCATAAGTAGCATGCAAAGCCGTTGTATGTGATGATGGTGATGATGACGCAGCTGGTGCATCGGCTTTTATACTGACAGCCGTGTTCTCATTGGCAAGCGGCTCCTTTAAAGCCGCGTCGTGCTCAAACAGCACCACTTCGTTGCTGCGATGCTTGCCAACTCTACATGGTTCTTCTCCTCGCCCTTCGGCAAAATGCGCATCTGATGAGGCTTTGGGGATTCCGATGGGGCCGCTGAATGACAGAGACACGGTGAACACGCCTCTGTCGCAGGCTGTGCGGTGCAGGGCTTGTGGGCTTGCGAAGGGATGTAAATAATAAGGCAACTTACTGATGACTACCATCAACCGAATGAACGATGGTACTTATAGCCTTACTTGCTGAGTCAGCTGATCCTGCAAGCAAGGCTTTTGTGAGTTTGAACAGCCTCCGGTTCTGTACATCTATAGTTTCAATGAGTTACTATCCCAGCATCTTGCTTCAAAGTAGTTGCAGGGTTTGGCCCCATCCCTCGACTTTCCACACGAGCCATTCGAGGGTTGTGCTGCGCTGAGCGAGGTTGCTTTCCTTGGAGAGTTGGGGAGAGCACTCGGGGCTTTAGGAGCCCTGAGTTTTCATCCTGAAGCCTTTCAGTTCAGGGTCTGCTGTCTCTTGAGGGCCGCATCGAGTTTAGCGGTCGGCTTATTCCCGTAAGGTACGGCCCAGACCCAACTCTTCCAATGATAGGTTGATAAGAAGACGCCTCTCAGTGCCTCCCAGACTGTTCTCAGTATGCAGTCGGAGATTCAGGCTTTGGGCTTTAAGGGTCTAGGCCGTAACTGTGGGTTTGGGGTTTCACCGCTTGGGGATATCCTGTAGGAGTCTGTAGAGTTGGGAGATTTACCGCAAGCCCTGAAACCCGAAACGGAAAACCTCGTGAGCCCAAACCCAAAGACCCCAAACGCCACTGAAACCCCAAAACCCTTGTGGCTCTCAAAACCCAAAGCCCAAGTTCACAACGTGACAACCTTCCAACGCAAAATAAAGCCTCAGACCCAGTAAGAACTCCCTAGCCCTGAATCTTAAAGTTCTTGTCATGAGCACTCCTCGCAGATTGGCTTCATTGAGTTCGTTGTGGCACCGCTGGCTCTCTCGCTGGCTAGATCCTGAGGATTTTATTCGGACCACAAGACCTTTTTGGTGCCTCAATCAATAAGTTCAACAGTGTTCCTTGAACCATCAAAGGTTCGCTTAAAGGTTTATCTAAGGTTTACTCATCGGGGTTTGAGGCGGTTGGGGCCTGAACAAGGGGAACAGGGCCTTGAGCTATGCTCCGACCCCTATAGGAGGCATAAACTATTCAGGACAGCCCCTTTGCAGGGATGTGACTGCGGGATATGACGCTAGTAGGCAGCTTAAGCCTCGCTGCTTTGTTTGTGTCTCATCTTATCGTGGGAGATCTTTAGGGTTGGGGGTGTAAGGTTTATAGGGTTCTGAACTCCAGAACAATAGCCCTTAATTAACCTTTGGGCGCAACAGGACGTCTATCTAAACCTAGGTTGCTCTGAGGCCTTAACCCTGACCACTGAGAGCACACAGGTAGAAATAGATGAGGGTTTGTGTCTGGGCAAGTAACGTGAAAGCCAAGTGAAGGAAATCCTGCCAGCATGGACCCCAAACAGTGAAAAGAGCAACAAGCAGTCCAAGAGCAAGGAATTGCCTTTACTCGTAGCCATCCCGAACGAGGCTCCCAAGACCAAGACCACCGCAGAAGGCATGAGATACTGGAGCCCCAGCTCGAAAGCTGTCAGTTCCCACCAGTTCTGGGTTTAACAATACCTAATGATAGTTAACGTCCCCCCTGAGGGTCCCCATAGAAGTACGCTGTGGTATGCACCAGACTCCTACTCCAGCCGTGCTGCACCTTACCGGCACGAGCCGTGGCTTGCACTTCGCCATGTTCGAGGCCTCCCCCAATGGCAAGCAGGTCCTGGGACGCGGCTCTTGAGGGGGTTTGCGCAGACATGGGCTTCAGAGATGGATTCGAGCGGCACGGGCCGTTCGTCCGGCTCTTGACTTCTGCGGAGTGCCGAAGAAGGACATCCGTACCATCTTGTGTGATGTGCTTCATGACGGCCCTCTTTGGTGCGCGTCACTGCACCGCCTGGGCCCGACATGCCGGCCGCCAAGTTTGCGGCCATGTGCGTGGCCTCCCGCAAATTGTCTTGCAGGATGAACCGTGAGCTGATGGCACACATTGCGCCGCATTTGGGGTTTGGGTTTTATAAATTACTTACAAGCCTGTAACATATCATAAGACATCAACAACATGAAAAACACGCAAACTATCTGAAACCTAGGGTCTCCATACTCGGGGGTTCTTCTTTCAATAATGAGTCGATATTTAGGCTTTATTAGAGCTCTGTATTGTATCTTATGCTCCGGCAGAGCTGCAGCAAAGCTATATGGGTGGAAACTGTAGGAATACGGCTGAGAGTGTAGAACCCGAAGCCCCAAGGTTGTGCCCAAGCAACTGAATTTCTGGATCCGAAAGCCCGAATCCTGAAGTGGCAAACCGCCAGCGTCATCACGCTTCAAAACGGACCCTCTACTCTGAAGTCATATATCCGAAACACCAACTCCTGCGTGAATCTTAAATCCGAGACCCCATGCCCGAAGCGGAACCCGCAATTCCTGTATGCGGACGCCATGGTTAAAGCAGGGCTCCCCAACAGGGTTGCTTCTATGGGCTTCTATAGTTACGGGTTACTATTAGGGCTTAAGGTACACGGCCTTAACAACTAGAACAGGGTTTTGGGGTGTGGTATAAACCCGAAACTCGAGCATCGCAGGCAGCCACCCGGATCGACCCTAGATCCAAGAGTACTACAACCAGGGAACCCTAAGGAGGAGTAGTACGAATGATATAGTACGAATGATTGAGGCCCTTATGGCATGTTGAACCCAAAGCCCCAAACCTGCAAACAAGGACACCACCCCCCAAAGCCCGGTATCCATAGAAAGCCCACCACAAATCAGACAAACATGAAAAGCTCATGAAACGATTCGAACCATAGAAGCTCCTTTAAAGACTGCCAGTCTTATGACAGCCCAATTGTATTCACCCTACAGAAGAACCTTCAAGAACACAGCATGCTTTATCAAGAAAGCCTGCTAGACAAGCCCCAAACAGAAGCTCCCTTCAAACCGAAATCCGCCGAAGATCCCAGGCGCGAGTTCTGCCACCCCTTTGGTTCAGCAACCAGATGATTCTGGACAGGGCTTGGGGTTTAGGGCATGGCATTTTGGTCCGGCTTCCTGCGTTGAGGCGGCTGTATGCCCCTGATTCATGTGGTTTTCATAGAGACTGTGTAGAGTTGCATACGGGTATCATAGGGGTGTAGAGACACCAATACCCAAATATTGTAATTACTATAACATGAATATAAATACAAATCTAGATATAATATACCGTACGATACTACAACGCAATACATGATACAGTAGTAGTACAATGAAATTATAAATACGATGCTGCAGTATACTATGTACTAGGTTTTGCTTGTCAGGACAATGCGAATATTTGGATGGACAAGTGGATCGAAGGCACCCTCCTGAAGCCAAGCTTAGAGGAGCAGGCGCGGGCCGAAGGAGCTTTGGGATTTAGGCCGTAGTGCCTTCCAAAGAGGGGTCTAGGGTTGAGGAGCTTGAGGGTTTAGGGCTCAGGGACATAAGGGTATATAGGGTTTAGGGGCTTTTCGGTTTAGGGGCGTAGGGGCACAGTTGTTTACAAGGAACCCTGATATTCCATTATAGTTATATTTGGGAACCCTGGTATTACAGTATAGTGCACGGGAATCTGATACTACCATATAGCGGTATTCCAGAACGCTAAGGAATAATCGCATTAAGCATTCCGCAATTCAAGGCTATGCCGGCTGATAAGGCCATCCTTGCACCGACGAGAAGACATCAAGATATAGTAAACCCCACCAAGTTGGAAACCGGATTACGGACAGTTCGTGCGGGGATTCCCTTTGCATTACTCTTAAGGATTGAGGCCATTGGGTTTCCAGCTTTTGGGCTTCTACTGCAGGGGTCTATGGATTGTGTTTTTGCCCTTCAGTTCATGAAGCTGCTCCAAGATATGTTCGGTCTACCAAAGGAATTTTCGACCATGCGCTCTAAGCAGGCACGATACTTGCACCGAACAGCGCCTGAAGCGCTGCCCTGAATCCGAACCTGAATCTGTGTCAGGTCAACGTCCGTGAGCGCATCCATCGCATGGTGCAGAAGACGGAGCAACGCGGCTACACGGCCACAATGACCGCACCTCGACCTGAAATAGAGGATTCCTGGGCATAGGCTGTGGAGTTTAGCTTTACTGTCTCGATTAAGGCAGTCAGGCAGCCAACATGTCCCTCGTAAAGTCGGAGTTTGGATCAAGCAACCGTCTGGGTCAATGCTGCAGGAGAGGTCTGAGTAGCAATACTTTCCCCTTTGCAGTCCCCTTAAGCATTGTAGCACCCTGGAAATGGGCACCCTGGACATGAGAGCACGCATCTCGAGAAACGCAGTCTACAAAGCCAACACAGACAAGCCCAACAGGATTCCAACATGTGTGGAAGCAGCCCTTCAAGCCCTATTCCCGGTTCCCGTACCCATGTCGAAGCAGTCACGAGGCACTGGCCCAACCTGCGTGAGCCGTGCGGGCGAAGGGAAGCTGTTATTGGTTTCTTTCATACAACATATACAGTGTGTGTTTTGTTTTACCTTCAGGTCTTTCAATTCAGGGCGTGGCTATTTGCCCTTATCATTTTTTCAATATAAGGTATCATAGCCATCGCGCTGCAGACGACATTGTGTGCTTGTGTGGTTTCTCTTGTGCGAAAAGGCTTGAAGCCGTAAATGGCTCCATGGGAGTTTCAGCAGGTTATGGTGGTCATATCAGCAACCCGAGATCCTTGAATCGGCTTCCTGCAGGTGTGAGAACTTGAGCGTGTGGGGGAAGGAGTTCTTGGGTTGAAGAGGTTTGAATATCCTACATCTTCTCAAGTTTAGCCATTCTGACGGAAACTACGTACTTTGCATTTCTGTTTGGGATTCAATTGGCTTTAGATATGCTGGCGTTTCAGGGCCTGTCACCGACCTTGCTCAGCCGGGTTCATGAACCCCCAAGCCCGCCACGCGAAGCCTGACAGTGAGGTTTCGTAAAGAGCCAATGTACAATGAAACTTTATCCCTAAAATGTTTACCAATCGGCAGCTCGGACGCCTTTTTCGCTTATCAGCCGAAGTTGGGGTTTGGGCACCCGGTTATATACAGGGCCTGTAGCTACTGTTGAGCCCAGTCGTTTGCAATGCACAGGGTTTCATGAGTGGGCCTGGCGATTGTTTCAGGTTGTCTGACCCGGAAATGGCTTTAATTCTGTCCGTGCGAAGTACACCATCAACGCAGATGCCGAAACTCAGAAAATATCATGTTCCCTTCGCAGTTTCCTCAAAGCGTACTCTCCGATCGGAGTCGTCCTGCGTGGGCTGTGGTCGCGGACGACCTCATGATAGATTGACCCCGGTTTCGTGCGAGTTTGTGGTAGATGCTCTTTTCTGTCAGACAGGCTTTCTGTTGCTGACGATTTTCCGACAAGGGGGGTCACCCTCTCCGACAAAGCTGTTTGTTGTTTAGTGATGATGAGGTTGATGGGATGGTCTTGTTCCATGTGGTCATCTGTTAGATAGGGCTTCTGCTTTGGAAGCACGGTGGCTGAACCAGGGTTATAAGATGCAGGATGCTGTGCTGGCTTGCTTGGCGTGGTGTTGGCCAGGCCGCCTTTGTTCTCCTGTCTGGCAAGGACACCTCTAGCAGGATGATGTTAGATCGTAAATTGCGGTAGGTTGTTCTTGCTTGTTTTTGCATCAAGAAAGTACAGGGTCATTCGATCTGGTGAACAAGTTGTGTTGAAACATGTATAAGTGATGTGATAAAGAGTGGACCATGCCGCCACTTCAAATTAGAAATCCTGATACCTCAACCCAGATCCAGCGAACTGCAGCCTACGTCTTTCGGTTGTTCGCGCCCGCGCTTCGTGGAGGAATTGAGCCCCGATTCGCAGTCTGATTTCGGGGAAAGCATAAATTAACAATACGATTTTAGGGTTCCTTGGTATATTTATAGGCTCATGATCTCGAATGAAGATCTTGACCGATGTGCTGTCCGATCTAGCCCTCTGGGGATTACATAGAACACTTCATCGGGATATAGGCCAATGCCCAGTTCTAATGGCAAAGGCCCCTATATTCCAACTGTTAAAGCCCCTATGCTAATAGGGCTACACAGCTTGAGGCTTTAAAATATAGCCGGACCATATTTAACACGTCTGTTGTCACCGAAGTTTCCGCTTGCGACATACATTGATTTCAAAGTTCACACGCGCATCGGTCCGGCTGTTTCTGCTTCTTGCTACTGCATCGCCGCCATTAGTATCATTACGACGACGGCACCTCTCCCTGCAACCGTCGTTACTACTGTCACCAATGCTGCTCGTTTCTACTCCTGCTGTCGCGACCGCTGATGCTGCCGCGCTACGCATGCGAATCGCTGCTTTCTCTGCTTCTCCTCCTCCTCCTCTCTCCTCCTCCTTTTGCTTCCAGTACTACCGCTACCACTGCCACTGTCACTGCCGCTACCCTTCACTACAATCGTCGAAGGCGGTAGTCAGTGCTGCTACTGATTTTGCATGTGTGCTACAGCTGCTGCTACCGCCACCACTACTTAGTACTCACCACTACTACTACTACTACTACTACTACTACTACTACTACCACTACCACTACCACTACTACCACTACTACCACTACTGCCAGTACTGCCAGTACTACCACTACTACTAGCACTACTACCAGTACTACCAGTACTGCCAGTACTACCACTACTACTACCACTACTATTGCTACTACTACTACTACCACTACTACCACCACCACTACCACTACCACTACTGCCACTGCCACTGCCACTTTCGGCGACTGCGACTGCGACTGCGACGGCCACCGCCACGGCCACTGCCACTGCGACTGCGACTGCGACTGCGACTGCGACTGCGACTGCGACTGCTCCTGCCACTGCCACTGCCACTGCCA